GGAGAAAATTATAAATAAAATAAAATTGAATCATCAACTGTAAAAAAAAAAAAAGGATCTATAGTGATAGAATTATCCGTTTGTAAAGGTAAGGGTCTATACAGACGGAAAAATTTTTAAGCTTTCTCAAGGTCTATACCAACGGACAAATCTTCCATCGGAATAGATCTGAGGGTTTATACAGACGGATTAGGCGTTGGTATAGACCCTATACTGACGAGGTTTCTACCGACTGAAAATTCTTCCGTTGGAATAGTACCGAAGGCCTATACCAACGGAAAAGGGGTGTATACAGACAGAAAAATTCCGTTGGTATAGATGCATCTGCTTGTAGTGATTGTTTGACATTAATTCAAGAAAATACCTTCGATCTTATGAGCCTTTTATTCTTGCTAGTTAGACAAGGCAAGTTTATTACACACCATACCCATCTATTAATCATGAAAGAAAGGGATGGATTGCTGCACTTAAAATTAAAGCTAGGAGTATCATTGAGGTTCCTGAGAATAAAGATAACCAACAAGAAGGATTGACACCATATTTCCAAGACAATGAGCCTCTTATTCCTCAACAAATAAATATTGATGACATTGCTTATGAACCTATGCAATATTCTGATGGGAGGTTTATTGAAATACATGAAGAAGCTGATGTTGGGGAGGGGATTGGGGAGGAGGATGAAGAAGGAGAATGGGAAGATTTTGAGACATCAGAAGAAGAAAACATAGAAACATATGTTGAGGAGAATGATAGTAGTGATGAGTAGGCAATAATATTGAAACTATTGAAACTTATTATTATATTTATGGTTATTGCTTGCTTGTCTTTACTTTTATAATTATATTAGTTGTATTATGTGTTACTTAATTTAAAATTGTATAACGTTAATATTACTTTCAAGTTAATATTTGCTTATTTATATTTCTATAATTGTATTAGTTGAAATAAATTTTATACGTTTATGTTTTTATCATATTATTAATTTTATTTTTTTTGTTAATATTTATATAATTTTTTTAATTTATATTAGTTATACTATATGTTATTCCACTAAAATATAATTTGATTATTATTTGCTTATCTATATAAATTAAAAATATTTTAATTTTTATTGTGATATTAATAGTAATTTATTTATTGCATTTAAATTACTTGTATTAATGATTTATTTAGCATTTGTTATATTTTTTTTTTACAATGGATTGCTGTAGTTCTCGCTACACGGAGGTTGTTGAATCCACCCAACCGTTGCAACGGCCAAATCCATTTGACCCCTAGAGACAAGTTCAGGAGGAGGTTCTTACTGATGTGGTTCTGGAGACTCCAGTTTCAGAGGGTGACACATACCAGCGGTTCAATGGATGTTAATGTTTATAGAAAGAAAATGGTATAAAAGTTCACATATGTTTAATGAATAATTAATGAATTATGATTTATAATTTATTTTATATTGATTATTTTAATATTTTCTCTCTTTTTTTTTTCTTTACAACAACAAGCAAACCCCTAGGGTCGTCTACCGACATTTCCTAAGATCTACACTAGTAGAAGGCAGCATAAAGGAAAAGGAAAAGACCAATTGCTTGTATATTGTAATGATGAGGCTCAAGAAATTGCAATAAGTATTTAACTTAACAATTTTATGTTAAATTGTGTCATGAATTAATTGAAATTATTTTGGTTATAATATTGAAATTATTGTACAATATAGTTATTGGTAAAAAGTTAGAACTCCATCCTTTTAGGGGAGAGTAAATTGAATTTAGGTGCCTAAAGTGATATTTTAAATTACACTTTAATTTTCAATACAATTAATTAATTATTTTGTCTTATATTATTTCAAGAAAAATTGACAGCTGAATATGCTGCTAGGCAAGAGGAAGAAGAATTTGACCCTACAATAGCTCATGGTGAGTTATTACTTAGGGCAAGTGGCGAGGTCAAGAAAGAATGGCTGAAAGGTTTGGATATTCACACACATCCACCGGATATAGGTGTGAGCACACCTAGATGGGAACCATTCAAGCCACCTATTATAGGACAGTCTAATAGGCTTGTCGAATTAAAGCGGACTGTTGAATCATTGAATGCAGATAATAATAGCCTTTGACAATCACAGATAACCCTTATGACAGATAATGAGAGCCTATGGCAGCAACAGATGACCCTTGCTGCACAGATGCACCAACGTTACCAGCATTTAGGGATGACCCCAACGGATACCAGTGGGACAGTCACCCTTAGGACATCCCGAGATATCTAGGTTTCTTATATTCAAATTAAATATTTGTATTTACTTTATATTTGTAGTAGACATTGGAGACTTATATATTTAGAGTAAACTAACAAAATTTTCTAGCATTTTGTATGATAAATATCATAAATTATGTGAAAATAATTTTATAATATCAAATATAATAATTTACATATCAATTAAATACTTTATATGTAAGAAATATCAAATTAAATGAAATACTCATACATAGATCGGTTTCAATTAGTATAACAATCGTAATAAACACACAAATGGCTTAGTGTCTGGTGGCAGAAACAAGCATATACGGACCGATGTTGGTCTGTATATGTCAAGGTAAGCAAAGCCAGCTACAAAATACCCATAACTGGCTCAGTCAAAAAAACAGAATGTTTGAAGTAGTCCAGCACCAGCCGACTTTGATTCCCCAGTCGATTCACCAGTCTAAATGGATCGATAACAGTCCGTATATAATAGTAAAAAATCAAGAGGAGTTAAGCCGGCTGCAAAATTTTTACAGTCGGCTCAGTCCAAAAAAAACAGAATGTTCAAGACAGTGCAGCACCAGCTGGCTTTCATTCCTCAATCGGCTCACCATTTTATACGGACCTATACCGGTCCGTATATAACTTGTAAAAAATCAAGGCTAGTTAAGCCAACTACAAAATTTTTATAGCCGACTTAGTCTAAAAAACAGAATGTTTGAGGCATGCAACACCAGCCAACTTTTATTCCCCAACCGCTCAGCCCACTCTAGTATATAAAGACCAATATCGGTTTGTATATGTCACTGTTAACATATACGGATCGATATCGGTCTGTATATACATGCAACCCTACACAGCCTCATTCGTATATACCAGCCATTATTGATCCGTACATATCTTCCATAATATACACAGATGTATATACGGATTGATACCGGTTCGTATGGTGTTATATGGATCGGTTTTGGTCCCAATATATACCCACCTGCCGCTTTTTCATTGTTTTTATTATATCATGCTTAATTTGTTATACTCTCGTTTTCAACCATAACATTCAGAATGTTTTCATGCTAAAGTGGATAACCTTACACAAAAAAATCAAATTTACTTGCTTTTGGCTCTGAAAAAACATTACGTAACCTTATATCTAATAACCTTATACTTGTACATTCAAGGTTTTACAACGATTCTATTCCACGTCATCGTTAGATAATTTCAGGCATGGAATCGTTGGTTCCGAGGTTCCAAGAAACTGTGGTGTCGATGTTCACGCAATTGGTTTTCGTAAGAACGGATTTGGGGTATGAGAAGATGGTGATGTCCTTAAATGAAAACAATAAAAAGGTGCACAGGGAAAAGGTTCTGGATTTTTTGCATTATATTTGGACAAAAAATGGTCTGAAAAATTAAAGGCGTAGAAGCCTCTATATTTTGTGCCTCTATTCTGACCAAAACCGGTTCGTATATATCTTTACACTGAATTTAATTTATCTTTATAATTAAAAAAAACCATGATGGACATATATACGGGTCGAAAACAGTTCGTATATGTCTATACAGATGGGTTTTAGTCCCAATATATACTCACTTGTAGTTTTTTCATTGTTTTCCTTATCTCATGCTCAATTTGTTATACTCTCGTTTTTAATCATAACATTCCGAATGTTTACATGCCAAAGTGGATAACCTTACACAAAAAAATCAAATTTACTTGCTTGTGGTTCCGAAAGAACATTATATAAACTTATATATAATAATCTTATACTTGTACATTCAAGGTTTTACAACGATTCTATCTCATGTCATTGTTAGATAATTTCAGGCATGGAATCGATGGTTCCGATGTTCCAAGAGACTATAGTGTTGATGTTCACGTAATTGGTTTTCGTAAGAATGGATTTGGGACATGGGAAGATGGTGATGTCCTTAAATGAAAAAAATAAAAAGGTGCACAGGGAGAAGTTTCTGGATTTTTTTTCAATATATTCAAACCAACAACAGTCCGAATATAAGTAATTTAAGTAATTTAAATAATTTAATGCATCTTTATAATTAACAAAGTTTTAGCTTATATATACAAACTAATACCGGTTCGAATATAACCGATAACTTTTTCACCGATTTTGCCCCTAGAAAATTTCATTGAAAATTAAAATTTTCAGGATTAACGCTTAATTATTTATTTACATATTGTTTTCAGTCCATATAATTTGCCGTAAAAAATTTCGTTGTGAATTAAACTTTTTTGGTAATTTGCATACCAATATCAATTTGAAAATGTTTGTCGCCTAAATTTTTGACAAAATTGAAGCTCTCCGCTAGGCGGTAATGTGGCGCTTATTTGGTATATTCGGACCGATTTTGGTCCATATAAAACATATATATAACCAGCTTCCTCTCTTTCCTTTCCTCATTTTCTTTTCTTATTCTCTTTCTTTTTCTTCTTCATCTCCTCTGCTTTTGGGTATTCTTTCCTCTTCTTTCTCATTTCCTTTCTCTATTCCTTTTACTCTTTCTCTTTTTTTCTTTCTCTTCTCCTCTCTTTCTTCTCTTCTTTCTCTACCCTTCTTAATATTCTTTTGATTTTTCTTACTTCTTTTATTCTTCCCCTCTCTTTCATGTTTTTTTTTTTCCTTTAATTTTTTTGTTTTTTCTAATCTTTTCTATTCCACTCTCCTTTTTTTGTTTTTGATTCATAATATGTTTTATAAAGATTTTCATTTTGGTATATTTTTATTATTTATATTTTGTTTATTAACTTTTTTTTTGCAGTTTCATATTATAAGAATTTGGTGAATTTGATGAATTTTCTCTTATATATGCATTTATTTTATTTTTTTTTTATATTTATACTTATTTGGTTTATTTTTCTTTTGTAGGAAATGGATAAAATTTCAAATAAATGGATTATAGG